TCATTCTTAACCAGGCAGGCGCTCTACCGCTTGAGCCACTCTGCCAGCCCTTCGTAGTAAGTGTTTAAGAACTCAAGGCATGGGCACTCAGGGTAAAAGAAGGCCTACCTTAGGTGCATGCATGCAGTTAGGGCTCCTGCCCCCACCCACCCGTAGAGGAAAGACCAGACAGGACAGAGGGCAGGCTTGTGACACAGCCTGCTGCTTCTCTCTAGGCATAGCAGTCATCTTCGCCTTTTATGTAGCTAATCCTACAGTAAAAAGCTCTCTCTATGCTGCCAAATAATTTATGGAAAACAGATACCTGAATGTTAAATGGACACAGAGTTAACAACAATAAATATTTCTGTGTCCTTGAGAGACCTCCAAAGTTGAGAGAAAGAAAAGAGAAAAGACCAAAAGGTATGTTTCTAGCCTAGGTTAGATGCCCAACTTTTGTGAGGAACTTGTGCATTTGGAAGGCAGGTGAACTCCAACACCAGTATTGGTAGTGTCCTCAGTGCACTCAAGGGCACCCATGCAAGCCTCTGTCCATGTTGTCTTCTGTAGTCCTTGGTCGCCAGTCCATTGAGCAGTGGCTTGCCGAGAGCTTCACAGGTGGTTGTACTTGGAGATGAACTGAACTAACTAGAGGGCATTGTATGTAGGAAATAGGGGCCTAGAGCTCTTAGTCACATGTAAATTTTTCTAATTACTTATTTGTTGCAGTACTGAGGCTTGTACGCAGGGCCTCGCACAGGCTCAGGTGCCATACCACTTGAGCTCCAGCAGCCACACTCAGTCACATGTACATGCCAACATCAAAGCCATCTTTCTGCTTCCATTTGCCTTTTCTTGGAGTGACCTTTGTCTTGAGTGTTGTCTCTGAGCTATTTCCCCCCTACAGCTAGCCACAAAAGTGGCAAAGAATTTTGTGTCAGAGAGAATTTTGTTTGTTTTGAGGAAACCTCCCATCATTTCTACTAGGGAAGTGGCAGTGTAGTAACAGCGCATTATTTAGTTCAGAAGTGAAGCAGATCCTCCTAAACCGGTGACACAATTCACCCAGGGCTCACAGGTCCTGTCCCTGGATCACAGCCTCATGCTCACATTAGGACTTGCTCCTATGGATTTGTTTTGTTTTTTTATTTGCGGTACTGGGGCTTGAACTGGTGGGCCTCAAGCTTGCTAAGCAGTAGCTTTACCACTTGAGCGCCTTCGCCAGCCTGCTCCTGTGGATTCTTAATTGAAAATACAAATGGTTCTTGACTTAAGATGGCTCATACAGTTTCGTGGCTGTGGTGTTGCAAAAACAGTATGCACTCAGCAGAAGCCATGCTGGGGGGGGGGTCTTTTTTTTTTTTTTTCCCAATTTTGAATTTTGTTCTTTTCTCAGGCTAGTAATGTGTGGTATGTTACTGTTACAGTATTACGAAGCTCCTGTGAGCCTGGGTTCCCACTCAGTGTAAAAATCAATGCTGTGTTCAGCATTTTATTATAAAATAGTAGGCTTTAGCTAGATGATTTTGTCCAACTACAGGTTAATGAAAGGATCTGAGCCTGTTTAAGGTAAGCAGGCTACACTGTGATGTGCTGTAGGCATATTCAGATGCAGGTTTAAGTTGACTTTGGTTTGTGGTGCGTTTGTTGGGTTGTTGTAAGTTTAGGAGCATCTGGAACTGCTTAAGTAGTTCTGCAGAGTTCCGGCAGGCTGTATTCCTCAGACCCTTCGAGCTGACCTGACTTCCAGAGGACTTCTTCAGGGTGCTCTCTACTTCTTGCTGATCATCTCAGTCTTACTGTTGGGTCTATTTAAAGTTTGAGAAGGAACGACACCTCCAAGTTTCTAAAGGACCTGTAGAGAAAATAGCCAAACTGCTGAAATTTTTGAAGAATCCTAGCGGCTGGGGAATATGAAATAAAAACGTACAGATGTAGTGCTGGTTGGGATGATTCTTCAAATAGAGGATCTTGTCATTTGATTCTGTTTGAGAACTACTTAGAATTGATGTACTTACTAATGTGCGTAACCGCCGAAACACTTGACAAGCAAGTTGTGCCAGGGTGAGTTAACGTAAGTAAATTACTTTCTTCTCTCTCTCCTGTGTGTCTCTCTCCTGCCCCCTTTCTTTCTCTTTCTCCCTCCCTCCCTCCCTTTCTCCCTTTCCCTGTCTCTAGATTATGGGGCTGGTAAATGAGAGCAGAGATTTACATATTGATTGGTATGCAGATCTTTGGAACACAGTTGAGAGAAAGCAGAGGACTGCCAGATGAAGGGAAGGGAGGTTCGGATTAATAACTGGCCCGTGACAGTGATTGTTTTCCACAACCCGAGTCAGGAGAGAAGAAAGACAGTCACAGGACAGTTCAGTTCCATTTAGGGTCAGTTGTTGACAGTGAAAACAAAGCAAAAATAATATTCGCTGCCTAGAGAGGGCAGGAGTTTGGTGTTTAGAGCACCAACTGTGGTCAGTTGGTGAAGCTCCCCGGGAGCTTTAACAGGTAATTTCAAATGCTGGCTTTTCATCAGGATGACCTGGTGCTTTTTTACAAGTAAGTGTCTCTTGCTCTCCCTCTCTTCCTAGACTTAGTATCACCAGGCTTGGAACATAGCTTCTCTAGATTCAGATTTACTGGTTCTGTCTGACTTCAGTCTCCGTGTTCTTTGGGCCTGTGGTTTTCTCAGACCCTTCTTGCAGCTGTGGCTTCTGGCTTGGCTTGGTGAGAATGCCCATGTGACCATGACGACAGTAACACTCTTAAGTGATAAAAGTCTGTGGTATCAAGAATCAGCACAGTCAGGCTGGGCCTAGAAACCACGAGGCCAACTTTGCATTTTGTAGACAAGCAGACAAGTAGCTTGCTTGATGTTCACTTGATGCCTGGCAGAAATTCTTGGTGTCACTTCTGTCTCTCTTCACTAAAACCAATTTACAAATGAGGAACATATCTGCTTCTTCAGAAGGTCTACCTGTTGTCTATACCAGAAGTGCAGTGGAATAGAAAGTCCTGTCTGCCTGTGTCATCTGTTACCAGTTGGAGACATTTGTGTGTCCTATTCTCTGTTATGATCCCATAGCATAGGTCTCTGTTTGAACATGGAGGCAGTGGACAGCACCTTGCAACCCCCTGGCCTCTGTCTGCTTTATGCCTGGGTAAACACCCCTCTTGCAGTGGGGAAAGTGAGGAAGTCCCCACATGTCATCAGGGCCTGATGGGAATCTGGAAATTGCTTTTCAAGAAGGCAGCTGTGTTTCAGGAAGAGAACACAGAAGAAAATATAGGTTGTCATCAAGTCATTCTGTTGTTGCTTTTCAGAACTGCAGGATCTGAATATGCAACAATTGTTTCTTCTAACCCCACAGAGGCACCTTTCTGCTCCCCCAAAACTGGCCTCTCGGTGTAGCTTTGTGTGGCTCTTGGCTTGATAGCCTGTTCCGGAAGAAAGACACTGATTCTCCCTCATTTTGCTGTCCATTGCCCAGCAAACACTTTCTGCATTTCTCTGTGAGCCTCTGGCTTTAAAATTCCAAATGCCTGTGATCTTTAGAATTTTAGTCATCGGGGCTCTGGGGGATGGTGGTTGCATAAATGTTCTTAATTCTAATTGCCAGATTAAAAATGGAGGTTCAAAACATGTGTCCCCACCCCACTTCACCTCCAGCTCAAAAAAGAAAGGCCTAAGTTCCCTGGTGGTCTAGTGGTTAGGATTCGGCGCTCTGTCAAAAAAGAAAGGCCTCTAGCAGATTTCTAACAAGAATGCTTTTTGTTTGGCTCCTAGCTCTGTGTATGCTGAAAAAAGAAGCGTCTTTAAAAATTATATAAAAAGTACTCACTGTGTAACACATATTGTGTGAGTATTGGGGGACTTAGTTGCTCTAGAACACATATGTCACCTCTACTGCCCCAGTCCAAGTCATTCATGGTCTCACTGCTGCCATTTTTGTCCCTCACAGACTCTTGACCTTTCTCAGCAATCACAGGCTGTTGTTGGAATATAACTCAGGTCACATTGTGTTCTTGTGGTAGGGAAAAGCCGCATTGCTGCCAGACTCTACTGTAATCTTCCTTGCCCATTCCTGCCTTCCCCCTCCCACTTCTGCAGCCTTCACCCCTTGCTCAGTCCACAAGTGTACCTGCTCCACTTCTCATAGACCTTTCTGACTGACACTCCCTTTTTCCTGAATACCCATAGGCTCACTCCCTGTTTGTTCCAGGTGTCCACACCGATGTGACTCACCCAGCAAGGGTCTTTCCTGGCCATGCTCACCTCCACACTCCAGTCCTCCACCTTCCTCACATACACACTTCCTGCCCTCTTGCCTTGCTTTGTGCTGGTTCTTCTCCAGTCACTTACCACCATTTGTCAGCTAAATAGGCGACCTGCTTCCCCACTGTCGTGTATGCACCTAAGGGTGGTGACTGATTCACTTTTGAGCCCTGTCTTCTGGCACTTGGTAGCAGGTCAGTAAGATGTCAAAGGAATATTTATTTTTGTGTTCTTAATATTGTCACTTTCATTGGCTTCTTATAACTTGCAAAAACAAATTGAGTGTGTGAGTGAGAGGCAGCATCCAAGCTAATCATAAATTGTAATACAGAAGCAAATGTGAATGCCATCACTTAGTAACTCACGCATTAAAAACTGAACTGACACTGTCCCATACAAGGCTCTTAGAGACTAACAGGAAATTACACCGATGAAGTTCCTAGAATGTGCTCACTAACACTTAAATAACTTTCGCTAACCAGAGGCTATTCTGAATGACTGCTATGATGTCCTTTCTCTGGTATCCCTGGTCATGGTTGGTCCAAAGTGATTTTTAGGAGGCGATTTGAAAATGTTTTTAGTTTACACTTGCTTTCAGTTGTGTTAGATGTTACTATAATGCACGTTTAAGACCTGTGTCTAGATTTAGCATAAAATTCCCAAAGCCATTAAAATACAGTGTGAATGAGTAATGATTCAGCTAGACACTAAGTTCTTGCTCTAATTATCATGCTTTGGATTTTCCCTGCAGTGTTGCCTGGAATACCAGAGAACTGCCAGCAGTCACTGTGGATCATGGTGGTGGTGCACAACAATGGTTGAGCGTTTGCCCAGGAAGTATCTGCTGCACCTCTGCCAACCACAAAACACGGTGAAGGGCACTTCCAGAGAATTTCATCCTGCGAGATCTTTCTGAATTTCAATCAGCTCTTTTTAGAAATGCAAATAAAGAAGATGAAGGATATCGGAGAACAGTTGTATACTACACAAATGAATGGTGGACACAATTCCTTGACCATGTCTCCCAAACAGCCTAATTCTGATAGAGCAATTCGGCCAGATAGACAAGAACCACAAAACCTTTTGTACCAAGGCTCAGAGGCAGAGGCTGCCATGATGACCATTGCGACCTGTGTGCAGTGCAAAATCACACACAAAATCCCTCCTCAAGATTTGAAGAAGGGCACTGGGCAAAGCCAAACGGAAGACAGATATGTCTGCTTTAAATGCAGCCTTCACGTGGCTCCTCCCCAATTTCATTTTGTGAACAGTAATCCCAGTGCTACTCATGTCGGAAATAAAATGGAAACCATCTCAAGTCCTGTCAATAACAAATTTAAGGTAAGGAACTTTAAGCCAGGCAAATACTATTGTGATAAGTGTCGATTTTCCACAAAGGACCCCCTGCAGTACAAAAAGCACACACTTCAACATGAAGAGATTAAATTCATCTGTTCTCACTGCAGCTACATTTCATACACAAAAGGAGAGTTTCAGAGGCATTTGGTGAAGCATACAGGCATATTTCCATATCAGTGTGAGTATTGTGACTATGGTGCTATTAGGAATGATTACATTGTCAAGCACAGGAAGAGAGTCCACGAGAGGGCAGGTGCTAAACGGCCTCTCAAAACTATTGCCAAGCTGGAGCCGAAAAGAACCAGTGTTTCAAAGCAGAACGCAGAGCTCCTAAAGGTTCCCAATCCAGGGGCTACATTTCAGCATAAGTTGTCCGATCAGCTTTCAAGATTCTCTCTCCACGCAAATAAAGACAGAATGCACGGTATTGTGCTATTACCAGACCCGAAGGAATACCAAAAAGATGTAGTGTGTATTCCGAATAAAATGACCGGATCTGAGTCGAAAGAAGTCAGTCTGTCGGGGAACAAAAATGTGGAAGTGGAAGTGCTATCCCCTGCCAAAGAGCCCCTGCAGCCAGGCATGCCCTTAACTGTTGTGGCACCAGCAGAGCTGGTTGTCCCTGCAAACTGCCTAGCGCAATTGATAGACGTGAAGGTCGTCAATGGCACCCAGCAGCTTGTTCTGAAACTGTTCCCACTGGAAGAAAATACTCGTCTTGAAGCTGGTGGTGGTGATGGAGGGAATGCTGAGCTGATTAAAGAGACAGGCTCCAATGAACGAGGAAAAGTACTTTCGGCAGAAAAGACAAAGTCACTGAGGATTGAAGGGAATGTCGGAGAACTTGTGGGCATTGGTGATCTTCAATCTTCAGTTCAGAAACATCTTAAAAATGTGAAATGGGTAAGGTCTTATGACTGCTTCATGTCAAATTCTAGTGTGCACAACCATAGAGAATCCTTTCTCAGTCCTGATACAGTTAGGGATTTGCAGAAAAAACATACCTTGTATTCACATAGAACTGCTCACCCTTCTGTTGCCTTAAAAGGTCATTCTCCGGCCTCTGTAGGAAAAAACAGTGCTTTGTGTGGTCTCGGAGTGGCCTTGAACCCTTTTCCATGTAAAGCTGCGGTTTCCTTTGCTGAAGATGGAAGAACTTCACACAGTGACTCCCAGCATTTACTTCCTCTTGCTGCATCGCCTGCTACCATTTCCTTCTCTGGAGAAAAGGGCTTCCTGCCCATAAGTAAGAATGACTTAGAATCCAGAAGTCAGATCAGTATTCCTGTAAAAATGGCTTCCTCTAGTAGAAAGCTGGAAGATAACCAGACAGAGGAAAACAAGGCAGTGTCCAACATGGGCCATATTTCCTCTTCACAAAAAAGTGAGTATTTACACATAAACCTTGCTGGAGAAGACAGAGTTAGGTCCCAACAGCCTGGTGATCAGCTTGTAGAACTGAAGGATCCTGTGAGGACTAACGACACGTATGATGGGCCAGTCATTTCATCAGTATTTTCTCTGAGTTCTGGATCTGAAAACATCCCAGAGGGCATTAAGTGGAATAGTTCAACATCCAAAATCAAGTCAATTGAACTGTTGCGCAGAAAAATCGCTCAGTTAATTGAATCCTGTGGCAAGCCCTCATCCTTGTCTGCAAACAGTGCACATCGCCGTTCTGTAGGGCAAGCATCAAAGGTAACTTCGAAATCATCTCCAGAAAGTATTCAGGAAATTAGTGTGTCACTTACTGGCCCTGGCCCTTCCATGGGTCCTCTCCAAAAACCTCAAAATGAGGTCACTGACAGCAAGCAACTTATTCCGCAGATCTACCCACAGTTTGCCAAGGGCAGTGATGGGAGACCTGAAAACAGAGTGACCAGGAAGACTCATGTTGCCACTCCAGTGCTGATCCCCAAAGGGGCTGTGCTCAGGGTCCTGAACTCCTCCGAGGATGCTCACATCATCGAGGCTACCTGTGACAAACCTGTCAGCATCCCCTGCAGCGAAGCACACTTACCAAAACCAGCAACATTCTGCTCTGTGAAGCAGACAGATTCAGACTTGCAGCCTGTGATGAGTGAAAGGGGGCCAGTAGACATGTACCCAAGTCTGGAGCCATCTCTTCGGCCTAAACTGAGAAAGGAGGATGCCACTGGTAGCACTGCCCCTAAGAAAATTGGCCCTGTGCACGGGCAGCAAGGAAGCAGTGACTGGACCAAGCCAGGGAGGCTGCTGTCCAGAAGTCTGACTGTCAGCAGGAATAAGGCCAAGCAGGTCAGCTCATCCAAGAAGAAAAGCAAGAGTCAGGCTGACCCTAGCCGCTGTCTCAAGGATCCTTCCATTTTTCAGGTTGCAAGACAGCTTCGACTGATAGCAGCTAAACCTGATCAGCTGATTAAATGTCCCCGTCGGAACCAGCCAGTCATTGTGTTAAATCATCCCGATGTGGACTCACCCGAGGTGACCAATGTGATGAAGGTAATCAACAAGTACAAAGGCAACGTGCTCAAAGTTGTCCTGTCAGAGCGGACGCGATGTCAGCTGGGCATCCGGCGCCATCACCTGCGGCTGACCTACCAGAACGTAGAGGAAGCCAACCAGCTGAAAAGGCAAATGATGCTGAAGATGAAACTGAAGAAAGTTCACAAAAATAACTACCAGGTGGTGGATGCCTTGCCCGATGACTCGTCGCAGTGTATATTTAAGTGCTGGTTTTGTGGGCGGCTGTATGAAGACCAGGAGGAATGGATGAGTCACGGCCAGAGGCATTTGATCGAGGCGACCAGGGATTGGGACGTTCTGTCTTCCAGGGGCAAATGAGTAAAAGTTGGTCTTTGAAGCAAATTGTTTTTCTTTTAGTTTTTGTGGTTTGGGGTCCCCACCCCCAGATTCAGTAGAAGTGCAGACAGTAGGAATGAGGACCGGGCCCTTCAGATCCCCGGCAGTAGTGCTGGGAGCTTTACCTGACACGGTGACTGGCCCGGGAGACACGTTAGTGGCTCCTGAGATTGTGCCTGCAGGTGGATGCACATACGCTTTTCTGGAGGAAGGAAGTGGCACCTTCACAGATGCCCGGTGATCTGAGACCTGGCTGTGTCTAGTACTCATTTTTCTGAGTCATACAAGTCTTTCCCACTCCATTCAGAGGGGCTGGTTTCGAATGTTTGACACGCACTCCTGCAAATGCTACTGAAGAATTAAAGCGACAGTTTAGTTATCTGCTTTTGCTTAAAGTTCTCTCCCGAGTATTTGGTACGTACCAAATAATGGAAATCGTGTTTCTACTTCTTACCTTAACATTTGTTTCCACAAAAATAGCTACCCCTTTTAATCCCCGCCCACTCTAATACTCCTAAGTGTTCTGTGTAGCACTAGTTTTGCTTTTGTTGGCTATTTGAAAGAATGATTCCAAAAGTTTGCCTGAATTTTTTTTAGGAGGAGAAAGAAAACAAGTATTTAGCTCTTGCTCTCTTTTAAAGTATCTTGATTTGTGATAATAGGGAATGTGCCTTTGTGAAAGAAAATATATAAAATTAAGCCTCCCCTTTGCCCTTAATGCTCCAACAAGCATAAATTAGGTTGCCATCTTAAGATGGGAAGGCGCAGACTTCTTACAATTCAGACAAACCTTGGGGAGCCAGGCCAGGTACGCTAGTGAAGTAGGCTGTGAGAGAGGCATACTGTGACCTAGTCTTCATCTGGGGACTCACCTGTGAATAGATGGATGCTGCCTGCTCTTCTTGGTCACAGGGGTCACAGACACTGCTCCCAAGGTCAGATTCTACTCCCTCTCTGCCTCTCTTTATGAACAGGCCTCCTGTGGAATTTGACAGCCTCTCCACCCCACTCTTGACACTCCCATCTGTGTCTTTGAGCCCTGGAAGTAATGTTGTTCCTCATGAAATTATTCAAAACTGGAAGAAATCCACAAAATGGAAACCCCTCACTGTCTTTGCTGTTACAGGAACAGTATCCCTGCTCTTCAATGCAGTAACAATCTGTCCCACTTACCTTGCCACACTCAAACTTTCCTCTTGTTCACCATTGCTGGGAGAACTTTCACTCCTGTCTTACAGCAGGTATCAGGACTGTCACTGACCTATAGGGCACCTTTGTGCACATTAGGAGAGAGCCCGCCCTTGTATATGAATAGCTTCTCAGGCAGATAGGTGGCTTGGCAAATGGAGCTCAAGATTGGATTTTAGTCCTCACTTGCCCAGGTAGCTGGACACTGCCCTTCATGAAGGGCACAGATGGCATAGGCAGCCTCCCTTTGGGCACTATCCTCCCTTGGGATTTATTGATGCAGTGAGGAGAACTAAGGAGTTGTTGTGTCTGAAAATGACATCAGTGATTTCTGACTTACTGGATGGTCAGGTGGAGACCCAGTTTTCAATTTTCGTAAGAGAAAGTCTTACATTATCCTCTGATAGATGGGATTGTACTCCTGAAGTTTGTTCTCATTACAAATTAGCAGCATTTCTTAGGTATAATTCAATACATTAATTAATTTTTATTGAAACTTAAAAATTTTACATATGTGTGTGCACATATACATATTTTTTACCATATGAAAACTGCAAGAGTTAATTTTTCTGGTTTCTTATTTTATAATGATATGTGAGCTGGGAGAATGGAAAACATTTTTATATTTTAGAAAATTTATTTTGGAAGTACATTTTTACAATGGTTTGATCTCATTTTTAGAAAATGAAAGCACAGTAAATGTTGGGTTCTCATTTATATGAACAAACAGGAGTAGAAAACCCCTATGGGTCATTTTATTATTACATTTACTCTTTGTGCATTTTATTTGGTGCTTGATGGCAAATGCATTTTCGTGTACCACTTCACCACATAACAGAGAGCATTCTGAAGTCTGATCCGTGTGCACATTTGTACCCTCCAGCATGAAAGAAGTCTAAGACCTAGGAGGAGAAGGAAAGGCTTGTGATGCTTTACACGTTGCTCCTTCTATGCCTCCCTGCTTTGTAGCTTTTTCCTGAATGTCTGGGCCGAGAGCTGGCCATGGATGGAGTCAGAGTATTAGTGTCTGTGTGAAATAGTTACACTTCACAGCATCAGCTGTTTTTAAGTGTTATATAAAACACAACTTGAGTACCTGTGTGGAGCTGAATTTCGTGAGTAGAGTATGTAGCAAAGCTTTTGAGGATTTTCAGAACTACAATACTTTCTAAGGAGTTAAAAGGGTTCCTGGAAGTCATAAACATGGGAAAGCCAAAAGTGGCTTGTCTTCCCCAAGTGAATAGCTGTAGAAAATAGCTTGTTGACATGTAGTTAAGTGCCATGAAGTAAACCCATTTCTAACACAATTGGAGGAAATAGATAGAGGCAGAACTATGTTGCCTATTTGCATACTCTCACCTTGAGATTGAAGGATCTCCAGTCACTACATTTTGTTATTAGTACTAACAAAGTTATTTTAAGCTTATTTTTTAAGGTAGGTTTTCTTTGGGAACCAGAAATGAGATGACCTTGTTATATTTATGATATAGGCAAGTAGGGTAAAAATTTTCAAAAAGCCACTGACTCTGTAGTCTTAATAGATTATATTTTATTCACATTTTTAGCCCCAATCCGAAACATTTTGTGAACGCTGTCATGGGCCAAGTGCTGTTTGTTGAACTCAACTGAACAGAGTTTATTAACCCTCAAGAGCCCGCTCCCTTTTTCGTTAGTACTTACATAAGCCATCCCAGAAAATGAAGATGTCATTCTGCTCAGCCGTCGGAATAACTTTTGAATCCGTGAATGTCTAGAAGAGCAGAAACAAAACTTTCTATGACATGTCAAGCATTATTACAAATCCTGTATTAACAGTTTGTGTGTCTGCTGCTCTGGTTTTGAAACACGCTTGTATATAGATATAGAGGTTGGCATAAATTTTGTTAAATAAAGCAACTGAGATTTTTTTCTGCCCTCTCATTTCAAGTGTTAGGCAAGGTGGCTATTGATGACACAGCTTGTCTGTGTGATAGGCTTTTGAAGTACATAAGGCATAATTCTACACAACACTGGTGATTGAATTCCACCGGAAAATTTTTTGATTTAGGTGCACTGTCTTAATCATGTATACCCTGATATGAAGCCCTGGTACTTTTTTGTTTGCTTTGACAAGTTTACAGGAGATGCTTGTTTAGACAGCAGTGGCAAATTTCCTACCACTCCCAGTGGCCTCAGAAGAGAACGATCTGTGACTCTCGCCTCTCAGCAGGAGAGAGCTTGGGTGGGAGAGTTCCCAGCAGTCTGGCCCAGGGGACCGTGGGAGTGTGGTTGCACTGCCGATGCCACCGGCCCAGATTACACTGATCCTTGCGCCCAACTCCACCTGCACTAGGGAAGAAGGAGCACGAAGATCAATCATTAAGGAGCGCATTTAATTGGCTCTGCTCACGCACATGGCAGGGAGTCAGAAGGGGAAAGGAAGAGAATAGGATTTGAGATAAACACTGGCAGAGCCCTGGAGAAGAGATGTGAGCTGTTTAAGTTCCGCAATTTGACTGATTCCTCCTCTGTAGGATTAGTATATGAAGTTGTTACCCTTTGTTAGTGGTCACTTGTGGTGGGGCGGGGGGTGGGGGGTGGGAGCCTGAAGAGGGCATAGACCACCAGGGGTGGCTTAGTGTGGTGAGTAGAATAAGTGTATGGGCTTAAGTGGGCAAAAGACCTTAAAGTTAGGAGGTGGCACTCACTCACCCACAGTGTACTACTATGAAAAGCTCAGGAGGGTTGGTGACACCTGGCTGACCAAGTTTACTTGCTGATGACTGGCCAGGAGTGTCATGGTGTCAGTAATGCCCTTTGCTTTGCAGTGTACAGAGTTCTCTGCTGCCACAGCTACACTCGGTATAACTGAGTCGTCTCCTTAAAGTTCCAACATCACACAGCTGGGATAAGATGTCACGCCAAGGAACTTAGTGCAGAGCAGTGCTATCCAATAAGTAGAGCCCAGCCCATTTGTAGCCACCTGTAAGAGTAAAGAGAATAGGTGGTATTAAATACAATGGACAATACATTTTAAATACTTTCAGCATAAAATTTATTGAAATACACTTTCATAACTCGGAAATCTGGTGTTTTACATATTTCAGTTTTGATGTTAAACTTTCAACTAAATCTGGGTAACTGTAGCTCTTCCCTATAATCCTAGCTACTTGGAAGGCTGAGATTGGAAGGATTGAGCTTTGAAGCTGGCCCGAGCAAATAGTTCATGAGACTCCATCTCCAAAATAACCAGAGGAAAATGGACTGGAGGCATGGCTCCAGGGGTAGAGCACCTGCTGCTCTGTAAAGCCCTAAATTCAAACCCCAGCCCCCCCCCACAAGAAAACATTCAATTATAATCTTACCAAAACACTGAAATGTTTAACAGAAGGATTACTTTATACTCCTTTGATTTTAAATTAAACTAAAAATTTAGTTTCTCATCTAACCTAGCCACAGTACATGTACCCATATGCCCTATGACTGTATTGACAGTACAGGGCAAGGAAAAGCATAGTGTACCATAAATATTAGTGTACTTCTCTGAGTTCCTTAACAGGAAGACGTGGATTTTGTTAAAGTAAAACCAGTGTGCTAGGCTTCACCTTCTCACATTTACGGAATACTGATGCTGAGTCAGACTCCAGTGACGCCAGCAGTTCTATTTCTAAGTCTATACCCTGGAGAAATTGTTGCACATCAGCCTTTTGAGATTTTCATATATTTTCCACTTCTAGTTGGTCAACCAAAGAAAATTTTATGGTGCTCATCCCCCACAGTCTGTCCAGGACCTAATGCATGGAGAGTCCCTTCTTATAGCTGCACAGTCTGAATCACTGGGGGTCTCCATAATGGAGACAGACCAGGGAGGACCTTGCACAGCTGGGAAACCACACACAGCACTTCCACTCACAATCACAACC